TTGACGACGCTCCTCCAGAAGGCTGTGGCGGAGTATCATGATAGTATTTAATATGCTCTTTAATATGGTGGTAGAAATGTCCGATCAGAATTTGATAAAGTGTAACTTATAGCGCCTCGAAAGTCAAGGAAGAAAAGTGACTTTTTTGCCCCCCCCCCCTGTATGTCTTATCTGTGCCGCCAAAAAATGCTCTGTACGCTTAGTGTTGATCAGTTGGAGACTCCCCACAGGGAACTGCTGGATGCTGACAATTCAGTTCTGTGCATCGATTGGATGGGGTACTATTCTTTAAGTTGATAAATAAGATGTCTTTCAGATTAGTGAAGCCTTGATTGGTGCTTATCGAAATGGCGCCTTCATGCAAGTACCAAATCTAGTCGCGCTTGCCAATAAAATGAAGAGATCAGCGATGGTGCGTTGAATAGTTTACAATTCGTTAATGCTGAAATTGAAACAGATGTTCAAGTAGTTTGTTTCTTGCCTAATTACTGAAAATAATTTCAGTCCATTGCTTCTAATGAACTGCATCGATATTTATCAGCTCTTTTTGCCATTGATAACATAGATGAAGCTGTAAGTACGCTGCACGGCAGTGACGACACTATAGGCTAGTTTCCAGAAATTTTTTTTCACAAATGAAGGTCATTGCAACCCTAAAGTTATGCATGTAGTGGCACACCCAAGGGGTTCGAGACGGTAATAGATTATAGAAAGGAATATTCGTTGTTGGAAGGTCCAGAATAGGCGCATTCCATTCGCAAGAAAACTGGGGGGAACTGTGGAAGTGCAGATGGTGGCACCTTCTCTTTTTCGATGTTAAAAAGTGTACGAAAGTCGTAGTAGTAGTAGCGCTACGCGTCAAGCTGCGTACAGAACTCGCGAAGGTCAACTTGGAAGGGTGTAACTGCAGAGGTCAGTGCGAAGCTATGCGGTGGCAGCGTCTACTGAATGGGTGTAAAAGGCACTGTGGATGACCCAATTCCTAGTGAAGAAGTTTCTTTTCACGTCAAACTCCCTTTGTGCTCCACTGTGGAGTGCGAAGGTTCTCTAGCAAAGGGATTGCAGAGCAGTTACTCGATTTTCATTTGAATTCGGAATCAAATTTAACGAATTCATTCTCAACTTTCCCGAATTTCTTACTTTTTAGAATGGGATTTGTTATGCGATAATAGGGATCTCACCGTAATACCGTCTTTCGAGAAAAACATAGAGAAAGACATTGAAAGTATACGGGCAAGCACACAGAAGGAGTTTGTGAGTCGTTTGATTCGTCTTTCATGGAGTTCGTCTTATGCAGTTTGTGCCCATTACAGGTCGATTTCGCGCGTCTCCGGCACTATATTTCTCAAGCAATTGGTTCCGCTGGTGGAGCAAAAGGCGCAGGCCCGGAAGAACTAGGGGCAGATTTGACACTCCTCCGTGCCCACTACGAGAACTGCCAGAACACCTATGATGGCGATTTTCCTCATGTTAGTTCAGCCTAATTACAGTTGTTGTTTTTCTTTCATTGGGCAGACTTGTCAGTCATTCAAAGAATGTCATGTCTTGGCTTCCTTCTCCTGGAGCATGCTCTATACCTCATCGAGTCTGTTTCTAGAGCCGTGTTATGCAGTCGCCCAGTTCATTATACTTATCTCGTTGGGTACGCGGTGGCTTCGTTGATCCGATTGTGTGTCTTCTGCAGTCTGCACTTGAGGTGAGTGTTTTTCGGTTTGTCAGAAAATCTGAAACATCAGTTTTTGTAGTTATTTTCCGCAGGAGAGGCTTGTAGTATTTTGTAGCTATGTCCAATGAAGGAGCCTATAGGAGGCTGTTCATGCTTAGCGTCAGCGTCCACCAGCGACCACCAGCCTTTCGAGCGTAGACTAGCGCCAGCGACTTCAAAAGTACAGATATCGATCTAGCGAAGCCAGCGCCTACCAGCGTTCAGGAGTTCATAGTGGAAAACAAGTATAGCAGAGAGCTGGATTAATGACAATTCCCGCGACCAAGTGTTGCGGGTAGTTGGTGCTCCGTTATGAACCAGCATCCCATAAGTAGCTCCTCAGTAGAAAAAGAAGGGAAAAACTCTCGGGAACACCCTAAACACAGACCTGCCCTCAGCAGTCTTGGACGAGTGTGTCTCCATAGCGACTGGAGCGCAAAGCTTGAAACGTGGGACCGTGGCGTGAGCGCCAGGCAATTTCTGGCCAAGCGATGCGATATTCGTGTTCAAAAAGCTCGGTAGTAGAACTAGTCTGATGTCGCAAGAT